TTTCGCTGCCAAAAGATGGCTGAAAATTGCTTACTTTCGCTTGGTCCGTGTATCAAAACTATTGATCCAAATAGCCTTCTAATACTTTCTGCCAAAAGTATAACTCTTATTTGCTCAATTAAGAGTAGTTTCATAAAAATCGAACAACTCTGAATCATTTAACACAATAAAAAGCAAAGGGCACTGAGTTACAATGCTTGTCAGTGCATCTCGAAAACTGCGAGTTTCCGTATGTGCCATCCTTCCAAATCTTATGAGATTACAGTCAACAACTATTGGGACACTGCTCTTTTGTAAAATGTATTTTTTATTTTGGGGAAATAATTGTGCGTTTTTTGCGAAAGCTTTTATTTTGACTCTTTAAATATGCAGAAATCATTGTTTGGCGATTGCGTGACAAAAGACTTCTCGAAATAGATTCCCTTGAAACATCATTGTTTTCAAATCTGGTCTAAACAAATAAAAGAAAACATTAATATACTTACCTTCAACACGAAAAGTTCTTTTCCGTTGCTCCATTTATCGGAGTTATCGAGAAATTAAATTGGCAACCGTGGCGTTGGCTTGTTTTATTCAACCGATTTCCGAAAATACCATCTATCAGTACCAGTCGACAGTCCGTGTTTCTTTACAAATAACTAGTCAGATTTCATTAAGAAATATACAGAACAGTATACTAAATTCGATTCCTACAGAGTCCAGTAGGTTATCCTAACTTCACTGGCAAGTTGTTTAGTGTCTCTAATTTGCATATTGTCGGAAAAGTCACAGTTGGCGCGAGAAAAGAGTGCACCGTAGTTTCTTCCGGTTCTGTCCATACCCTAGTGGTGTTGGAATTTTATGTATAATCCTTGGCAAGAAAAAGAGTCGAGATATGCATGCACTATGCACTATGTATAGTATTGCCTTTGATATTATATGCTGCTTTACCAGTAGGTGCTAACATTAACACTTTTGTTTCAGCAAAGTTAACACTAGCTCTGCTCTTGTAATACTTCAGTACTGCCTTATACAAGGTTTTAGTAACATGGGATTTACCTACACCTGCACCTCCACTTAAGAAACAGTAAAATGGTTCATCTGATGTTTTTATAAGATGTAGGACATGATAGAAGAATTCTTTCTGTTCTTTGTTTAACATTTGTACCATATGTCTGTATTCATCATCTTGTAATTCATTCATAAGGAAAGGTTCAGTGTTTGTCAACTGATGGTATTCCTAAACCATGTGATAAATTTTTTCTTTCATTAAAGTCAGGATGTAAATCCTGATTACCTTCAGCCAGGTCTTGCTGTTCAACACTTTGTGTACATGGTGCTATAGAATCATATGTATCTTCTATTATACTCGTTGTTGTATGTCATTAAAATCTTCATTGCATACAGCATACTGTTCCATTTGTTCACTGATTTCGTTTTGAAGTAGCATACAGCGTTCTTGATAAGAAGAACAAATACCAAGTAGGTCAGTGTTTTCATTCCGCCATGGAGTAAACAGTATTAATAATACACGATAGTGTTTCTCTGGATCAGATTGCTTATTAAACTACACACTTCTAATTATTCTTGCTTTACTTCTTTTTTTTAAGTATCACTAGAAGCATTCATTCTTAGTTTATTATCATCATCATTCTGATTATCATCAATAAAATTTTCTAATGGGAGACCATCAACATCTACCTCATTTCCTTCTTTTACATATGGTTTTCCACTACAATCATTCCATGCCGCCCAGTTTGCAAGTGTCAGATGTTCCTGTTTAACTGGACTTTTACAATATCTTTTCAGTAAACCACTTGTATATATCTCTTCACATTCATCATCCATATCTTTAATATCGTTCATTGGTTTTAAAAGCTCCACTCTTTCATCAGGTGGTGAAGTATTGATAAATATTACCTGTCTAGATGCTTTTCGCATAGGTAATTGCAATACAATATACACTGCTTCTTGTGCACTGATTTCAACATTATTTACAAATTTACTTCCAATATCTCTAACTTGTTACTTAATGCTAAGATTTCCTTTTCTTGCTTCAGTACAAGCCTCTCGTAAGAGTTCACTCATGCCTTTCTGACCTTTTGATATGTAATTCACTATATACACAGCACATGCATAAACATCTAGAACATACTGTATTTCCATATTAGTTCACCATGCACCAAGACAAGCAGGGTTGTAATTGTTTATACGCAATTCATTAGGATCCCTTTTCAAGAATACCATAGGAGTATTAATTGATGAACTTATTGCTAGTAAATAGTTTTCTTTAGTGATATTAAGATCAAGTAGTAACTGATCAAATGAATTGTGTTCACCTTCTTTCATATCATCTAGATGTTTTTTGATAAACTTCCATGTCTCTTTGTGTATTTTTATTTCGTTTTGAGGCACATCAGTGCCTAGAGGATAGAGTATCATAGTCTCCGCCATTGGAGGTTGAGGATAGCTAAATCTACATTCACTTTTTGTGTTTTTACGGCATGTGTTTGAATGCCTATGTATTTGTCTATTGACTAGATTCAGTAATTCAGGGTTGTCTGTCGGCTTTTGACAGGTAATAATCTTATCAATATATTGTGTCACTTTGTTTTTTTTCTTCACTTTTTTGCTTATAAAGGCAGCATAATTATGAACATACTAATAATGATGCTGATGACAGTATAATACTTATGATGATGATAGATAATTAATTATTAATCAATAAAAAAATAAGAATACCTGGTTTGAGACTTTTCAGAAATTAGCTGGGGGGAGAGGGTGGAAACATGGGTAGGGGCATTACTTTTTAAGATACTAAAAAGGGAGGGTCACTAAAAATATGCCACCAAAAAGGAGGGTCACGGAACATTAGACAGAGTGATGAAGGAAGGTCACGAAACATTAGAGAGAGTGGCATAGGGTAGGGTCAACATATTTCGATCCTTTACTTTGGGAGGGTCATTAAATTTTCATCACTTCATTTCAAAATTCCACCCCCCTCCACCTGGTAATTTCTGACAACTCCCTTAATACAAGAAAAGTGTTCTGTTTAAGAGACATATTCTTATAACCTTTCTGAATAATATTCTGCTTCAGTGAACTTAACAAAAACAAACCTTGCATAGTTCTTAAAGCTTGCTTCAGCAACAGAACATACTTTGCTGGCACTTTCATGAATTGCATCATCTCCTGATTGTTCAAAAGCATTTTCAATTCAGAGACTGTCTCAAACTGGAAGCGAAATAATATTAAAAAGGCATTAGTCGGGGGTGAATCTAGCTAGCTCATAAAACTATTTGTCTAAGTTTATTCAGAATATTAAACATACACAGCCATACTAAAAATATGAGGATGAAGAGGCACCCCCTTAACCTTCATAGATCTGCCCCTATTAACACACATTAATTCAATTCAAAGGTGGGATTGAATGGGAAATGGATGGGGATTTAAAAAAATAACTAAATCGTCATCAGAAATATTTCTGAGAAAAATTAGACCTAAATTAAATTGCCTCTGCTTTTATCCGTCATTTTGATTGTGACAAAAAAATCAGTTTGGTAATCGTTTGAATGAAATTTTATTTATAACTGAGGAACTTTCATCTTTTGCGAATGGAAGCCGCTGGCGTTGAGCCCGCGATATGCGATTTTTGGCGCGTTTTTAACACTGTGAATGAAACCTCTGCATATCATAACTAACCTTGTGTTCGTCCACAATCAGCGGTATCAACCATGTTTTTCCAGAAAACCCTGTGCATTCTATGCAGAACTCTATTAGAGAGCCAAGGAAAAAAAATATCAGAGACAATAGTTTGATCTCTTTAGCCGATTTATTCACCTAGTTGCACAACTACCTCCACTACAAATCCAAAAAAACCCATCGATTTGAAGGAAGAAGGTCTAC